GAAAGCCAGAGATCCAGCTCTCATCGTCAGTGACGATCCTCAGCATCAGTGTTTTGATCCGTGGTGAAATTACAGATGCTGACATGTAGGTGGTCAGGATGAGACTTCCATGGAGGGGTCTAAAAATAGCAGCTCTGCTGGAAGCAGTTCCGTGGCACACCGAGAGATGACCTCAAAGAGGCGAAATTTGAATCAGATATGGCTCTCAGTTTTTACAGATGCTGAGCCTTTTGATCGCAGCTCATATGATGGGACTGCTGTAAGTGTTTTCTGTGGAGAGACACAACAAGCAGCTCCAGCAGGGCCACAGGCTGAATAATTATAAAACGCTGTCATAGCTTTAATTTGATTTTTGTGCAAGGATTAATGAGAGAAAGAACAATGACATATGTAGTTTCATTTATCAGAGCACTCCAAATAATAATCAGAACAATTTGCATTTTTTTGCAGTTTAGAGAATCTTTTAGTGTCTAAATTTTTAAAGCGGTGTCATCAAAGTGTTTGAAAATGGAAAAAACTGAACATGGATGGTGACACGTTATCATTCGTGTCTTCCGCTGGTTGTCTGTCTTCCCATCAGCCTCCCATCTGCAATCGTGGACGTGTCATTTTTTTTCCATCTGCTAAGTGTCTCATTCATACCTGAGTGCTGGTAGGCCAAATGATTCATTTCATCAGCATTCTGCTTTTCAGTTTGCCACAAAACCACCATGACAGCGACATGCACAAAACCACAGCAGGGCATCACGTAGCACAATAAGTTGATTAGTTTCAATTAAAGATCCCACTGCTGATAAACTGACGGTGCCGCTGACACTTCCTCTAGTTGTGGGGACATTAAAAACGCATTGTTGTTTTTGCATCTTCCTGTTGTCGTTCTGGGTGTACAAATAAGCATCGGCGTCTTTTAGTCTGCCTCTGAGGAACCAGGTTGCCTACTTTCCTTTTCCAATTCTTTGCTCTGTTTTATGCAAGCTGTAATTCTTTGGGGGCAAAGAGGCGTTACAGTTTTTTTGTTTGTGTTTTTAACTTTCAGCAGTGATGAGATGATTGTGTTCTTTTTCCTGTCCTCGCGCAGCGATGGTGAAAGTGTCTAAACAAGCTCGACAGCGGATGTTAAATGGACTCACTGAGCCACACGTCCTGCACTTAACATTTAAACGTCATTACCGTGCACAGGCTCGACGCTCACATTTGACCTCGTGAATTTCACTCGTGAAACTTGAGCTATAGATTCGATTAAACACGGTGAGCAGATCCAAATTATGAGGCAACATTTAAACTGCTGCACATGAATGCAGCATAGTCAAAAATTAGCACAGGCCCTGACGTACGCTGTGAGAGATTAGACAACTCTAGCAAAATAAATCAATTATCAGAGTGTTGCAGAACAAATGTCTGCACAGTGAAAGAAAGAGAGTGTGTGCACGCTGGGGGCTATGCTAAGCTACACTGAGCACAGCAATGCATCAACGTGTCACGATTAGCTGACTAACCCAAGAAACACAGCAGATGGATGGTAGGAAGAAAAAGAATATTAATGATGCTAAACATTAACAGCATTAATTCAAAAACTGTAAAATATTTACGATTTGCCAGCATGTAGATAAAACTTGTAGTTTTATCTCTAGTACACGGGAAAATCTCGTGAAATGCATGCAGAAGGTTTATCTGAACGCTACGATGCTGGAGGGGGAAAAAAGTAAAGGTCACATCATGCGAGCGCCTCAGATATTTCAATTATCTCGTTCTTTCTTGCAAAGGCTGCAAAAGCATTTTCTTGCTGATTGGCTCTGTGGCAGTGTTGTTACCGTCACTCTCACAGAATCAAACTGGCTCCTGTGGAAAATACGCTTATTTAAGCATACCTCCCTAAAAAGTCTTGTGTCAGGAGGTCATCTTATTTAAAATGATCACACGGTGACGGCTGCATCTCACACACTGCAGACCGATCAGGAATGCAAAGATGTGACTGGATTTTCTGCTGATGAGCTTTACAGCAGCTCGGTGATTAGTGCCGTCACCTGCGAGTCAAACTCATATCGGTGCAATGGATCGTGCAATGCACCTGTTTCCTCCACCAGCCTCAAAATGTCTCTAATTTATGGTGTGTTATTGAGCAATGATGCCGTATCTGCGCAGGGCGTCACTCTGGACGAGATGGGGGACGTTACAGCACACTCTCTCGACAGGGAAACAAATAGTGCTGTGACACAAAAATAGCTGCACGAGGGACTTGGGGATACCAAATGTATTTGAGATGTTACTTAACCAAAAGAGGACGTGCAATATAGCATTAGCAACTTTGCAGAGGGAAATAATACAGCAGAGGGGAAAAGGGATGATAGGGAGCAACGGAAAACACATTAAAATATGGAGCAGAAGGGATTGTGGAAGAAGCAGGGGAATGAAGGAAATAGAAAAACATTTGACTGTAGTTATGAGGGATAAAAAAAAGAAGCTGTTCCCCTTTCCAACAGATGAAAGAGGAGACAGCTGTAAAGATAAAATAAAGATGAAATACTGTATTTAATTAAATTTATGCCGTAATGCAGAAATAGATGGGCATGCAAAGTCAGTTAGGCGGCCTTTGAGCCTTTTTTTTCCTGTGCGAAAGCTTCAGACATCTAATAGAAGTATTGTGAGGAAAATACGCAGAGGCATTTAATAATGTATGCTGCAGTGAACATAAGGACAGTGTTAAGTATTCGATGCGGTGGGAGCCGCGTATAAACCCCGGCTGATGTGATAGTTGTGACAGCAGAGGACAGAAGTGAGACAAGATAGCTGAGGAACGTTACTACTTTTAACAGCTGAGGCACACTGAATGGTAGGAAGGAGCCCCATGCAACTGCCCCTACACACACACACACACACACACACACACACACACACACACACACACACACACACACACACACACACACACACACACAAAATGTCATTGGAACTGAATTAGAACTCTCCAGAGGAATCTTTGCCCGAACGCAGCACTTCCTCGAAGGGGAGCGACTGTCCTGATATTTGACCTTTCTTACTCAGCTGGACCGTTTTTGACATTTCGGTCCGTCATTCCCTTTTTTTTCTTTTTCCTTTCTTGCTTTTCCCGCTTCCTGTTTTGTTTCAGACCAAAAAATATATATAAATTATGGAGAAATTAAATACTCCATACATTTGATAAAACCTTTTTTTATTTGGGATTTACAAAGTTGTCCAGTATTTGTACACAAGCGTCGATGAACTGATAAACTGCACGTGTGGAAGTAACCTTTGAAGTGTATTTCTTGTAGAGCAGCAAGATGAGGATGAGGATTTCTACTAAACACATCATGGTTCTCGAGTATGTGGAACAAGGTCTACAGATTAAAGAAATAAGGTTATTTTTTTAACTTAAATTAAATGCTGACATGATATAACACATAAATCATTACTGGCAAATAAACCCTGCGTTTACCCTTGAAGGAAAAGTTATGCACATTTAATCACGAACCTTTTGAAAAACAGAAGAAAAGTTTGATAATTACATGCTTTTTATCTGGTTTTTAAGTCTCCCTGAGATCTTTGATAATGCACGCACTTAAACCCTACAGTTTAATGACTTCTACATCCAGATAAATTTGACCAAATTTATTGCTAGGACCTTGGAAAGCAGTGATATCACTAAAAAGACCCTGCAGAAGGGTTAAACTAACATTTATCTGAATATATAAACATACAGCACTGCATAAAAGTCACCACGCATTTCTCTAAACTTTGCTAGAAAAGTGGCCAATAGGTGCAGCGATTTATTGAAACATTTGCAAACACATGGAATATAAGGTCAGTAAATATTTGCTGTGACCACTTTTATACTTTTTATATGTCCAAAACTCCTTCACAAATCCTGGAGAACTATTACTCAAGACCATCAGAAGAAAGTCTGGCTCCTTGGAAGCAAAATCTAATGAAATGAGGGATTTTTCAAGACATTTGCACAGTACTGAACATGTTCCTGGATGTGTTTAGTTTATTATTTTAATAAAAAACTACTTACAGCGTCCTGGCACAGTCTTCTCACTACATGTCGTGCAAGTGCAAATGCAAATGCAGCATCAGACACGTACTCAAATGTTATTCGAGATCTAATTGTTTGAAAAGTTTTTCCGTTGTTAAACTAAATTCTATTTCTAAGATGCCAGGTCTCAGCAATTACTCAGTGTTATCACAGGTACAGACGGATGAAGGTATGAAAATAGAGTTTATTTGTGCAAAGTAAGGTCAGACCTGATGGAGACAGCTGACCGTTTTAAATACAAACATGTTCTTAAAACACAGTCAGGTGGGAGGTGTGTGTGTGTGTGGGAGGGGGGGTATTTATGTGATTACTTAATTGTAATTTATGTTCTCAAATTGTAAAAGCAAATCTGAAAAGCTGTGATGATGCTGCCGTTTTTTGCAGCGAGCACAAAGATAATATTTGCTCACGCACAAAAAGATCTGTGTTTATGCCAGAGGCGTGCTGCTTTTGTTCAGACTGTTTCTCTGAATCCCTTCTACCCCCCTTTTTCCAACTCACTGTCTTTCTCTGTAGTCTCTCACTCAGTACATAATCAGCCTTTGGACTCTAACCAAAGCTGAAAAAAATGCAACAGCTCAAGTGAGGGATGAACAAATATACAGATTTTTTATGTAACGATGTATCGCTGCCTTATTGTTTCGATTAAAAAAAAAAAACACAGGAGGATTATTAATTAAAAAAAATCATGTGTTTTGTGTGGTGATAACAGAATGAAACCAAGGCTTTTTGGAAGACATCACAGTGACAATTTAAGCATTTTTATTGCTCTAAGTGGATAAAACCTAACAAAAAAAGGATGAAATTGCTTTTTAATGCCTCACCAAAATGTCACCATGTCCTGTTCGTGTTAGTGTGAATATAAAACAGATTTCATTCATGTCTGGCTGCTTCTCTCTCTCTCTTTGTGTGCATGTGTGCATGAGACTGTGATTATCCCACTCACTCGACTGTGTCCTCCCAGTTACACCAGTGTCTCTGATCCAGCTCTTGCATGTCCAGTCTGAACTTGCCCAGGCAGAAATCCTCAATAGCGTATTCGTAGTGAGGTCCGCAGCCCAGCGCTGACACACACTGAGACGCTGCTGAGAGAAAGGGGAGGGAAGAAAAGGGAAGGACGGCGTTAGAATAATGAAGGAAAGTGGGCTGAATGTAAGTTGGATCGCAGCACAATGCATAATTCAGTGCAGGGCTAACAACTTTTTCCAACTTTTAAAAAGTGTAATGCAAAGAGCTCTGGCCGCAGCGGGATGACGGCAGAGGGCAACACTCAAGAGAGCGTCTGTAACTGCTGCCACCTTTTGTGGATCAATGCAAACTGATCCATTTCCCCATCTGTTGAAGATGACAGTCTGCTGACACAGTGTAAGCTTTATCACTGCCGTACAAGACCTCCAAAACCACAAACAGACAGATGAGAGACAGACGAGACGAACTGAACACCAACGTTTCCGGTAAATTCTTGGTGGACATGAGGGAGAGTGCTCCAGATGCTGAGAGGGACACTTTGACATATTAACAGAAGGACTGTGTGACAAATGATGTAACGCAGGTAAGAAAGTATGTGATGGCAAAGATGTTTGGTAACACCCATTCAAGATACAGTAGTATCGGTTAAAAACGACATGTCGTAAAAGAATAATGCGAGAAGACTGCAGCAGTGGTAAGCTCAACATAAAAGCTCTGGGCTTAAGGAAATTGGTAATTTCTCTGCATTCAGAGTATCAGTGCTTTTACACCTCACTAGTTAACTTTTCAACCTTTGTTTATTTCCCTGCCCGTGTGGGTGTAAATGCTCAGATTATTCAGCCAAATTACTCAGAAACAAACAGGGTGAAGAGTCACAAGGTCAAATATAAAACCTCACCTGCAGTGACACGCTGCATTTCAGAAACGTTAGGCTGAAAATGCAAATGAGATGTTAAGTATCAGCATTTTCACAGATTTGTAAATTTTTGTTATGCAAGAGTAAAAAAAAGAGTTTCAATTTGTTGCAACGTTGAAGCCCCAGCTTGTTATTTTTTTATCAGTCACAACAGAGACGAATAAAACTGGAAGGTTTGTTGAATGTAAGTATTAGGAATTAAAAACAGACTTTAGAGTTCGGGCGTAAAAGTAATTATGTATCGACCAATGAAGGCCATTAAAGGTAAAAAATGTAGAACCGACAATAAATTGATAACTACATTAATTTATAATATTATATTTTTAAGGTGTTCTTCTTACATATCTGACAGCTTCAGCTTTCTTTTTTCGTCACAGTCATAAACTTGACAACTTGAACTCTTTCTGACCAGTGTTGTAATAGTAATTAGTTACTTATTACTGATTACTTCTAAAAGAAAGTTATCGTTGCTTTACTGACTACTTATTTTCAAAAGCAGTTAGTTACTTTATTACTTAGTTGCTTTTTAAAAACATGATACACAACCTCAAGACATTTCAGGCCAATTCAAATTTTTTCAGCATAACCCATCATATAAGGTTTAATCAAAACTTGTTTTATTAGTTTTGATCTTTTAACTTTAAGCATCAAGCAAATTCTGCAAATTTTCCAGCAAACTTTCAAACAGATGCAAGTAAAACACAGCAAAAAAAAATAAAATCAAAGGCTCAGCAACACTGAGTCCCATTGTAGAAAGAAGTTTTCTTCCCACGCAGAGTGAACAGGGGACTAATGTTTTTGTAGTAATGTCAGTACTTCCATACATCCGTACTCCTCCATATTATCTATTGTTGATCTACACACGTCTTTTGCTGCCATGGACGTTGCACGCTCATACGTCATTGTCATGAGACACTCTCACAAACAACATCACGGTTTTCTAACGCAGCGTGCTTATGAGAGAGTAACAGTAATCTAATTATTTGCAATAGTAATCCCTTACTTTACTCGATACTCAAACGCATTACTTTTAACACGTTACTGCCCATCTCTTTTTCTGACACTCTCTACTGATCTTCCAACTTGTATGTGACACTCACATCACTCTAAAGCACATCTTACTCATAATTACTCATAATACTAATTATTAGTGCTCACTCCCCGAAAATAACAAATGCATAATTTAAACACGATAACCTTCTACTTTGACCAGCATATAGAGACGTCTCTTTTTTAAAGGTAGACACTACCAATGAAGTCATGTCTCAGGACGGAGATTTTCCACATTAAAAGGTCTCCCACAAAACTGCACAACTAACTGTTAAAAAAGAGAAAACAATATATATTTCTACAATAAATTCCACGGCGGTGTTTTGCTAAAAGAAAATACTGAATTATCATGACACAGAAATCAATCTTTTTCATCGTTCTTCCTCTTCCTGTTTCCCTCCAGCGTTTACTGACTCCCTAAGCCTTTTATCACCTTTCGTCTTGTTTTGCGTTCTTATTACAACCGCCTTCATTTCTATTCAGCTGTTTTCCTTTTCCCAGTGAATCTTCTATATTCGTCTCTATTAATCCCTCCTTTGGCAGCTTGCTGAAATCTTATTACTTCTGGAGTCTTCTAGGAGTTTTGTGAAGTGGACAAATCATTTTGTGAATTTTAGTGTACTTATTAGGACTCATTAGTAACAACAATATAGAATTTTGAGATATATGCAAACACTTTTTGATCTTACATCGCTGTGTGCTTCAGAATATCTGAAATTAATAAATGGAAACTATATTAAGGTCAAGTCACAGCTTTAATTTACATCTATTGTTAAAATACCAGAAAGTATCACAATTAAACACCTGATGTTTTTGGGCAGCTGGTTGTTGTTTCGGTGCTAGTTAATGCAAAGGAGAGCCCACAGGTGATTTAGACTGGTGACTGGTTGTAGTCTGCTAACATCAGGAGTGAAACTGGTTTATTTGTAAGAGAATAAGTTCCATTTTTTCAAAGCACTCAAACAAACACTGCCACAAAAATGAACAAAAAACATGAAGATGAGCACAAGCCTTGTTGCTTATCTTAAAGAAACACCTTGATGGCAGCACAACAAATCAGGATTGTTCTGTAGGAGAATTCACTGCATGATGCAAACCCCCAGCAACCCACACAAACAAACAGGCCAGTTGCACAGAACGTGTTGTAAAGAGGAACATTGTGTGTCCTCAGAATATCCTCAAGTGGCAGATCTTTGGGGAAGCATTTGACTCAGCGTTCTCTTAACAAACTCTCTTTGGAGCGTCTAAAGGTTGGTCACAACAGCGCTGCGAGTCGTCTCAGTATTCACAAATCACACCTTCGCTAATTCAGCTACCCTGGATCCCCATCGAGTTCAGGGTCCACTTTAAGATTCTTTGATTATTTGACTTTTAGAGCTGTGTGTAGCGGTGACAGGCCTGTTGCAACAGAGCCTTTCCCAAAATAATAATGGATTGGATTTATATAGCGCTTTTCAATGCCACTATTCATTCACTCTCGCATTCACACACTGGTGGAAGCAGCTACAGTTGTAGCCACAGCTGCCCTGGGGCAGACTGGCAGAAGCGAGGCTGCCATATCGCGCCATCGGCCCCTCTGGCCAACACCAGTAGGCGGTAGGGTAAAGTGTCTTGCCCAAGGACACAACGACCAGGACAGAGAGCTCGGGGATCGAACCGGTGACCTTCCAATTACAGATACGCTTCCCAACCCCCTGAGCCATGTTACTACGGCAGAACAAAAATGTATTTTTTCAACTATTTCAAGTTCCTTCCATCACAGGAGGAGCTGGGTTGACATGATTTAGTAAGCATCTGCCTCTGTAACGATGTAGGATGCTTTCTGGCTGTCTTTTTCCCAGTATAATATTAGCTCATCATCTGCATGAATTATATGAAGTGAAAATAAATAAGAAACCCCTGTACGACTTTTTATCTTTAAAAGCCTTCAAGGTAAAAAGGTCTGATAATGGCAGTAAATACATGCTTTACACAGAGGCGATCTATTCCACAGAATAGCTTCTTCAGAAGAAACTAAGACTTGAGACTTTAATTATTTTCTATCAAAAATGAGCAAGTTTACAAATAAACTTAAAAAGTAAGACAATTGATTGGTTGATTACTTCTTTGTTGTAACAATACTCTTGGGAATAAATCTTATACTGCTGTAAGGAAAATGCAACTGTGGGTTGCGCGCATGACATTTATTACAACTACACGTGTCAGTGTTTGTCTGTTGGTGCAGAGCAAAGGGACTTTGGGGCACTACACAGTATCATCATGAGGATGGTTTAAAAACAAATCTGTACAAAGTGGAGGAAATATGAGCAAACAGCTTGTGTACATTCACACTAAAAGTCCCGCTGTGAGGAAAGAGGATGAAAAGGCTCACACGACCGGATTCAAAGATGGTGATCAAAGAGTAGGATCAAGTGAACATGTTTGCGAGACAGAAATGGTGTAGAGAAAAGAAACGGAGGCTGAAACAGAGAAATAGAGATTTTTCCATATTTTTTTCTCTATCACATCCTGACAGTAATTCCAACACTTCAAACTGACCAGAACAGAACACAAGCATCAGAATGCAACCATTTCAGTATTTTCTGCACAGAGTTATTGCTAGGTTTATAAAACAAAACCAGTTTGTTATGGTTAAAAATAGATTAAGCACAAATATGCACTGGATCCCAAAGTCCTGACTCCCACATGTTGGACTCCCTTATTTTCCACTATGATTAATAAAGGTGGCTCTACTCCCTACTCCCGTTATTAATGATGAATGCTTTCGTTGGCCATAAATTGTGTTTTCCACACTTGTCCAACATCTACATAATTCTTCATGATGCCGTACTGAGGACGGGGTTGCTGCTGATTTCCACTGAGGAACTGGCACAACAAGCAAAACTGTGACCATTTACAGTGGCTGCCTTCATTGTTTAAACAAAAGTGAGGTGTGAATCCACACAAGTGCCTGTTGAGGATAACTAGTTTGAGTAAGTGCCCCAAAATGATTCCCATCCAAGTGATGGGGAGTTTGAGTGTCTGTAGTAAATATGAAGGGATGAAAGGATGATTTTCGATGATGTTATTGTTGAATCAGGTCTGTGCAGGGAGAAGGGAAAATCATTTTTAATTTACAACACAAAAAATGATCCGTTACATCAGCCATTG